TGGTTCCTGAAACTGTCATGAGTAACTCACCAGTCGTATTGCCATGCTCGACCTAGGAGAATGTGATTAGCATGCATAAATACGACATCATAGTTAATTTGATCCTGATACCTTCATATGGTGAAAGTTATCATTGTCAGCTTGTTTACTCTGATATCTCTACACTCATTTTACCATTGTAGTCTGTACAAGTTAGGATGCTTGGTACAAATCAACCCTAATTTTTCAACGAGTGTTATGTTGGCTACGTTGGTGCAGCTCTCTCAATCGATGATTATACTGTATATCTTCCCACCTATGAGACGCAGTGTATAGAAAATGTTCTCTCTCTAATCCTCCTCCTCCTTCATCTAGATATTGAGAGCTCCCCTTATAATCAAGGACTCACCTTAAGCCACATACTCATGCTCCTTATCCACATCTTCTAATGATGGCATGTTATCACTTTCAAAGTCACTGAATCTCACCATTGTCTTTTAACAACATAACCCTCTGATTTGGGCATTAGGAAGCGATGCGCCTGAATCCTAGACACCTGAAATATATGATAGTGTTATGTTTTTTGGATGAGATAAGTGTCTTACCTTTATTTTCGAGTATGGCCACCTTCTCCTTCTTTGCCTCAACTACTTTCTTCTCCTCTTTCCTTTGCCACCTTGAGTTAAAGGTAAGAGTGGTATGGAAAGTCTTCTTACCTTTATTCTTTAGTTGTCTCTCAATCTTTATGGCCATGTGGACTATGTCTTCCACCTCCATATAGTATTGATGTTCTACAATGTTGGCGATATCTTTGTTGAGACCCCTAGAAATCTTGCCATAGTTACTTCTGGATCCTCTTCAATATTGGCCCTTATCATGGTCATCTCTATCTCCTTGTGATAGTCCTCAACAGACATAGATCCCTGTATTAAGCATTTCAACTTTTGATATATTTCTCTATAGTAGTAAGAGGGTACAAACCTTTTGCATATAATTGCCTTCATCTCTCTCCAGAAGAAGACTGGTCATTCTTCGTAACGCTGCCTAGTGAGAAGTAATTGATCCTACGACACTAAGACATAATTAGTAAACTTTATCGCTACTAGTTTGATCTTCTTCTCTTCGTGGTAGTTATGGCAATCAAAAACTAGTTCAACCTTTCTCTCCCACTCCAAGTATGCTTCAGCATCTTTCATTCCTTTGAAATGTAGTATTTTCATCTTTATGGAGGTGATGTTGTCATCCCTCCTATATTCTCTCCTTTCTACCTGATCTTCTTCCTGATCATTATAACACCTGGTCTCATCTTCAGGATGTTGAGTTCTAAGCCGCCTTTTATTACATGCCCCTTTTCTTGCTTCTTTTCTACCACTGCTCAAGTTATCTACCTTCTAACTAAGCCATGTCAATTCTGCCTACATAGCCTTCATAAAGAGCCTTATGTCGGTGGGGCTTTGATACTCAATACACATTTTAAGAAGATTTCTTACAAAAGGGTTTGTAAAAGAAAAATTTCCTCACCAGTTCTCTCGTATTTCACTCACTTGGCTGTTATTCTTTGATAATCTCACCCATTATTGCCTTTTTCTACTCTATTTTTTTCCCTCAAGTTGAGTGTCGAATAGACCTTCTTGAATCAATGTATTTTCAAGTATTGTTCAAGACACTGTAATGAGTCCTATAGAACAAATACCACACAAATACTATAAGTAAGAGTTTTAACATGCAAAGAAAGAGATAGTGTGTTATGGTACGATGCTAAACCCTAATATGCGAATTAGATGCTTAGATATATTATAGAACTAGAGCTTAAAACAATAAAGGAAACTAAGAGTACAAGAAAAAAAAATAATTATGAAGATGTAAGGATTCAATATTACCCATAGGAAAAATCCGAGAGATATTCCTACCAATTTAAACCAGTTGTATGTTGTGTTTATAAGTAAAGATGGAGCTTTGGCACTTGATGATATGTGTAAATATGGATGCAAGTTGATTATGAAAGAAGGATTATATATATATATATATATTGCCTTTGAAGAGTTTGGTTCTTGCACCGTAGTAAGAAGAATAATTGAGCACTAAAAGGTAAGTATTTTCCCGATTATTAGGTTACTTGATCGAGATTTCTTTCCTTGGTTTCATTTCATTCTTTTCTCTTCTTTTTTTTTTTTATAATGATGTAGGAAACGAAAATTGCAAGGAAAGTAAATATCTAGTCATAAGATTGATGCTCAATAGGGACTACAAGCGAAGAGGACTATAAGTTGTTGTTTCTTATTTAGATTGATGTGTGACACTTACTTTTTTTCTCTTTTTTTAATAGATGAACGAGGGAGATTGTGCGGAAAAAAACTTAAAAGTATAAAAGTAAAAGATAGTATATTTAGATGGAGTTAAAGCTCTAATAAAAAATGATACAGAATCTAAGACCAACCAAGGTAATGAAAAACTCACACAATTTATTCAAGGCACCAAATGAATTTGATCCTATAAAAATCCTTCTTATTTAACCCTCTATCAAGAGTGGTAGGAATTAATATCACTAGAAAATTGGTGATTAAAATAAGAATAGAAGAACACTACAAGGAATTAACTTAATAAGTAGATCTACTTCTTAATCAACATGAAGGATGAAGACACCTCTCTTGAATAAGATTCACAACATTATTGATTTCAATCTTAAATGGTTACAATGAAGATTTGATGGTCTATTTATAGGGTAAGCCATGTGAATAAAAAGGTAACAAAAATATCCTCATTTAAAACTACAATTACTTAGGAAATTAATTAAAATTAAAGTCTAAATTCCTAACTAAGTGCAATTACATAGAAAATTAATTAAAATTAGAATATAAATTCTGAATTAGGATAGATATGGTAACTCTCAAATCCCTTTTTAAAAAAGAGTTTTTACTCTTTTCCATCATGTGTTTGAAGCAAGTTGATGAGATCATTATGCTCTTCGGTTAATTGGTTGGGTAGCTTCTTTCTTTGAGCTTCTTTAGTGGATCCAAAGTCATCTTCCTCATTAATCCAAGCTTGGATGAAGAGTTGGAGAGCTTGTTATAATCCTTTGGTATGGCTCTTTGTTATGGGCTCATGTCGCATAATGATGTCTCTTCTAAGTGGCCCAAGGTGATCCATACTCACATCATTCTGTTTGGTGTTTGATAGTGTTTATTAGCTTGCAATAGGCTTCAAACTCAAATGCAATTGAGATAATTTCACTACGGGTAGGAACCTCTCCTTTCTTGTCATTTCTAAAAATCGTTTCATTTCAATTCCTCCGAAGGATCTAGGCCATAGTTGGAATGGTTTCTTTATGATTGATGATATCATGAGAGCTGACATTGGTTATCAAGTTTAACTTAATCCACCTGTCAAAAAAAGAAAAAAAGAAAACATTTAAGGAAAGTTTAAATTAACAAAATACTTCTATACATGTCTTGTAAGAGGATAATCATGAATGATGTGAAAAGTGTCATCCGTATTATCATGCACCGACATATTAATCATCTTTAAAGATATGTCTTTTTCTCTTTTAGCATTTGTGAGATAGCATTTGAGATTAAAAGTCACATACATGGTAGACAAACTTAGTGAAAGAAGAGACCAAATGGATGTCATTTGTTTTTGAACTAATTTATGTGGCAAATTGAGTTAAGTGTTGGTATATTTGAGTAAAAAGTTACCATCACTTGCATGAGGCCAAATTTACTTGTCCAAGTTGGCAAATGGACTTTAATTTAAGTAATCTCAAGCCAGACTAAGTATGGGAGAAGCCTTGAAAATTCGTCCACTTCCAGGAACCATCAAGGTGGATATAAGAGGAAACATTTATATCTAAATGGTCTTTAAAAATTGGTTGGGGGCAACCTAGTTATCTTTCCAAGATTAACATATTTTCCCTCTGCTATAGCCCATGTAATAAGGGGTTTAAGAATATAAATGTACTTTAGCAAATATTTCTAACTTTTTTATGAGAAAAATTTGGCTCTAAGGACCTGGAACTAAAAGCTATTCAACACCATGAGGAGCCTGTGTTACCAATAGTGGTACCTCAAATAAAGTTTTCGGTCATTTTGTCTAAATGAGATATAATCAAGTGTAGGAGTCCACGAATTGCATAGTGTAAGATGGGACGTAGAGATGATATACTTAGTAAATGTCGTGCAACTTGCCTTAAAGAGGAGGGGATGTACCATCTTGTAAGCCTCGATTGGACCTGATCAATAATACTCTTGTATGCCTGAAGAATCATAATGAAATGGATGAAAGGAACTCCTAATTCTTCTATCAAGGCCAGTGGTATGAGAAATTGTGTTAAATTCACTCAGATTATAAATAATTTTGTTAAGAACTTTCTTGGAGAAGAATATCCTAGATTAAGAAAAGTTAATTTGTATCCTGAACTCATGCAAGACATGTCCAAACAATTTTTTAATGTGTTCATTTGGCTTACAAATTCTTTCATCAAAAGAATAAAATCACAAAATAAAATTAAAAAAAAAACTAAAAAACTTCATAACCTTAAGGAGCAAATCCAAATATGAAGGACACGTTTTGTGCAATTAAGTGACCTAATCTCTCAATACATAACACAAAAATGTAAAGGGAGATCATGTCCCGTGGTTATACTTTACCATTAACCAACAAATGCATAATGAGCACCTTAATACATCTTTTTTCACAATGTTAATATTTATATTTATAAGAAATTTTAATTTAGTTTCTAATTATTAATATACGCTAACATCTTCAGTATAAACCTCTAATTTATATTAATATTAGACATGTATTGACGTAAAATACTTATGTTTGATATTTAATATATAAAAAATTAATTTTTAATTATTTTCAAATAGAAAAAATCAAAAATAAAAATGCCACCAGGCATGTGGATCAATCTTTTATGAAAAATAATTAAAAAAATTATTTAATATTATGACCATTTAATGTGTATATATATATATATATATATATTTCAAGGCAGAGTAAGAAAAGAAGAGCAAAGAAAATGAAGCACAAGCAAACTTCACCAATATTTCAAGACCAACCTTCAATTACAAATTTATTCAACAGAAATCAAAATTTGATCATCTCCGAACACCATCAACCATTCTTGCCCCAACCCTATCAAGCTTCTTCACCACACTCACCGCCTTCAAATTCCCAACCTTCCAAAACGCCTCCACCATCTTCCTCCAATCTCTCTCTCTCTCTCGAATCGTCACGCACGCGTCGCCCGCCCACTATCGTACACCATACGCCCATCTC